TACAATTAATAATTTTGGTAAAATTGAAAACTCCGACATTTATCCGAATTGTCTTAAACTTAATAAAACTAATAATTCACAAAATAGCATAGACTTTCTAGATCTTCAAATCATTAACTACAAAAAAATTTTACTTTTTGACAAAACAAGAAACTTCAATTTCAATACTAACAAATTAATAAATTGGAACTCCAACATATCCAAAAAAGTCATTAACAATACTATAATTAATCAAATACAACGAATTAAAACTATATGCACAGATACAATAGATTTACAACGCGAAATTTTGATCCTTATCAAAATTCTCAAAAATAATCTAATTCCCTTTCAATTTATCAACCATTGCCTTAAAAGAGCAGGCGTTAAATACTCACTCTAAATCATTTAACTGATAGGGATATGATAATTTATTCCTAAACCTGAGAAGGCGGTATAAGTTGGATGACTGTCAGTTGAAAGATTTGTATATAGTGTAATTACTCAATTGTATATATTGTAAAAAGCTAATTGTCTTCAGACATATACTGTTACTATACTGTTACTAAAAAAATGGGCCTATTTCCTGCCTTTAGACTATCTACTAGCTCTTGGATAGCGAAAATGCCTTTTTCCTTTCTTAAATTCTTAATCATTGCGACACCACAATTAGCCAGAAATTAATTAATTTCCATTCACTAGTATTTTTAAAAAAATCTTAACAGACGGTCTCTCTCAAATAAGAACTCCACAAAATACATTCCTCAAGAATTCCAAGTCCCACCCACTACCATAATCACCCAAGTCTTACCGACTGATATAATTCAAAGCCCCTACTGCCGCTAAGAATTTTCGGACACCCTACACTTCTGAGTCAGACACGAAGAGAAACACATTGCCAACTCCCCCACTAGAAAGAATGTAAGTTACTTAATACCTTTCTGGCCTTTATATCTTCATGTACATTCACTAATCTTATTTATATTAATTTCTATTTTATTTTTATATTATTTTTATATTCTCTTTGATTTGTTTTTACAAAGTTTGCATTATTTATCTTTTTTATAATCTTCTATGTTTATTTCAACTTTACTTTGATTTCGATTGCATAATGACAATTTCCAATGTTTAATTTCTACAAATATATATAGTACTCAAATACATAAAGATGATAGTGTCGGGGACGATTACTCGAGTTTTACAGGATTTCTCTACAGTAATTGATTTTTACTCCAAATTGAATTGACTAAAATGCTACATGAGAATAAGTTTCTTTGAGTAACAACTATTCGCGGAAATATTTGGCCTGACTAGAATTGCCGATTTGGCTTTAACTTATAACTCGAGTAAAGACGAAACACTTTCATATTTACGTATTTTTATCAATTATTGATCATTGAACGGGAGTTGGTTTTGTTCCCCTTGAAAAGTCAGCTAATTTCCGATCAATGACAATAATTACATGTTTTTTAATTTTTACTTTTACAATTGTAATATTATTCTTCGTGATGATTTAACTCCAGTCCCCGTTAAACATTATTAACATTTTGCTTTCAAATTAAACTTACCAGTATGGATGCACACTTTTAAAATAATTCTACTTTAATTAAAGTTAGGAGATAATATAATCAATTAATCAATACTGTTTAGGAAATAAATTATTATATATATATATATATATATTATATATGTTGTAAGATCTTAAATTCGTTTAGTGCGAAAATAAGTTATTAGTACTTGCGCAATTGCTGCAAAGTAAGTTAATAATAATTTATTTACTAAATAATATTGATTATATTATCTCCTAAGTTTAATTATAGTAGGACTATCTTAAAAGAGTGAAACCATACTAGTAAGTTATATTTTGAAAGATGTTTTGAAGTAACTTGAAAGTAAAATGTTAAAAATGTTTTAACGGGGACTGGAATTAAATCATGAATAACAAAATTTCAATTGTAAAAGGAATAAATCAAAGGCAAGAATCAAATTAAATGCATGTAATCATTGTCATTGATCGGAAATTAGTTGATTTTTCAAGGGGAACAAACCAACTCCCGTTCAGTGCGAAATCGAGTTATTCTACTACTTGTGCAATTGCTGCAAAGTAAGTTAATAATAATTTATTTACTAAAGAAATATTGATTATACTATCTCCTAAGGTTAATTTAAGTAGAATTATCTTAAAAGAGTGAATTTTATATATACGTCGAGCTTTAAAAGCATTCCTGTAACATTACAATCGCAAACATATGTGCATGAAAAATTTCAAGGAAATCTGATCTATAAAAAAAAAAAAAAATCTGATGTGTACACCACATGACTTCCTTGTACGGAATATTAAATTATACGCATTTTTTCTTGCATTTCATTTAAACTTATTGGATTGAATTAAATCTACTTCGTCGACAGCGCATAAACCACAATAGAATAAATGCATTCTTTAAAATTCACTCTATTTGTTTACCATAGACACACTCTGGCGCTAGGTTCACTTAACAGTATTATATTTCGTTCCTATTATAACTCAGAATGCACAAAATTTATATCATTTAAAGAATTATCTAATCGTAGCCACATGTTCTATTCAAATACTATAACGATGTATAAAAGAAATTAAGCAAACAAAACAAAAAAGAAACAGTTTTTCACAGACGATCGAGTATTTCTCATTCAATTAATTCAGTTCTCACTTTGCGGCAAGGCAAAAATGCATGAAAACTCAAAATATCTGTGTTAAAAATTACGAAGTAAATCTTAAACACTTATTTCCTCGAAAAAATTCTAGAAAGGATTAAGCATGATTTAATTCGCAATAATAAATGAAGGGGATATCTTTGTTGTTGCGAAGCTAAGTTTCTCTAAATTGGCAACAAATCCAGCAGTTTCAAATGTAAGCAAGCAATGGCCGCCATCAAAAAAATTATTAGGCTTAGCGGCACTTAAACAACTTTAAAATTGTTGATAATTCTAAAAATATTGCATACAAATTTACTAAAGGCATAAAAACCTTAACCGGAAGATAAGAACAACATAATTCAATCACTTTTAAAGCAAAAAATGTACAATTTACAAACATATAAGAGTAATGAAACTGAGATCACTGAGCCGGGTAACAGAGTGGATATATATATTGAATATTAAAATTTAAGCAATATATAAAGGAACAGAGAAGTGAAGCTCCAAAAAGATTTTTTCGGGACAATTCATATTTATTTTTAAAAAATTTTTCATCAAACAAGAGCTTCAATGGTCTGTTTCGGCGAAACGCGTAATGGTATTTGGCGTAGTTCGACATTCAACTATTTTTCCCTTGAAAAGTCAGGTTGAGGGTCCGATTGGGCTAATTTACCATTTTCCGCTTTGTAGTTTTTATAATTTTTGTAATTTTGCAATTTATGTTTTAATTATAATTTTTGCAATTTATGTTTTAATTATTTTTTAATTTTATTTTGTTTTAACTTGTTCCGTCGATCTATTTTTTTATATGTATTAACTTTTCACATGTCACAACGGTCAGATTAGTTTTTTCGTGCATTCACATGTTTTCCAACATTGATTTTAAACAGTTTTATTTCGCGTGTAAGCAGTTTTTTTCTTTTTTTTCCATGTTAATATTTTTTTTTTTTTTTCTTAATTTCTTCTATGTTAATATTTCAGTAATACTGCGTTGAACTATTTCGTGGAGCTACAGCTCCTGGTAATTTTTTAGCAAGCTCGCTACAATATTTCTTCCTATTATTTCATACTTTTGCAGAATTTTGCGCAAAAAATTTTTAAGACCAAATGTGTCTTACGTATCATTACTTGTTAGCTTTTCTATTTTTATTTCGATTATATAAATATATTTATATACGTTTGGTGCGGCCGATTGCAACCAAAATACGAGGTGCACATCTACATGTTATAGCAGTTCTATACACAAAATTTCAACGTTCTGAGGCTACTCGTTTTTGAGTTATGCGAGATACATACGTACGTACGTACATACGTTCGTACAGACGGCACGAAAAATTCTCTTCAGAATTCATTTTAAAGCAGTTTTATAATTTTTTCGGAGGAAAAGAGTCTTTTATTCTGTACTTACGTACAGATGTCACAGAAAAACATCGTTAAATTGCATTCGATAGTCAAAATGGATATTTTCGTTGAAATATTCTGCCTGAAAATTTTCGCGATTACAATACTTCCTTTTTACTTCGTACAAGGAAATAAAAAAGGATGGCAACACTTAATACTCTGTAAATGTGAGTATTGATCAGCTGACTGCGTCCGCGACGCATGTTATAAATAAGTTACTTAAAAATTCCAAAATTTTACAATACAAAATTACAATACTTCCTTTTTACTTCGTACAAGGAAGTAAAAATCAGCAATCAATTTCAAGATTTAGCCCCCCCCCTTCAAAAAAACCGAAAGTCTGAGTTAAATAAAACGGTGTAAAAGAGAAAACAGCTGAATAAAAAAATATTGCATAGTCAGATTTAGTTTAATTATCTTTTTGTGCTGAATGCGTACCATTCACATGACAGAAGATAGAGGACGAAATAAATTACAGTACCGTCTAAATTTCTTATTCACATCGGTGAATAAGAAATACACTTAAAAATTCATCCTTCGGAGTGACGGGAGTGAAATTATAAGTCCAGAAGGAGTCGTAAGTCGAGTAAGCTTGAGTTTTTTAACTGTTTATTTAGCCATTTATCATTAATTTAATTTCTTTTATATCTCTTTTAAAGCTTTATTTAATTTTAATTTTCATAATTTTATTGATTTATTTTTGTTGACCTTTTCTGACAGCCATCCATATATCTTCGGCACTCCTAATTTTATAAATTAAACACTACATTCAGGAATTGCACATGGACAGGTATTGTGCATTACAGTAATAAAATTAATATTCTGAAAAATGCCCGGAAATATCTGAATTTTATGTGCATATTATACTCTTTAATTTTGTTTATAAAACCGATTGTTAGATGGCGCCATATGTGAGTAGATAGTTCACCACAAAAAAGATGCGGGCGCCCTCTCTTTTTTGAAACGGAAGCACATGTCTTCGGCGGGTGGTGTAATTAAAGGGATTTTTGTAGTATAATTGTTTAATTTAAATAAAATTAGTGCATGAGTTTCGAAATTTGAAAGAATACTCAGATACAAAAGAAGACTTAACTATTATCACCGTATGAAGTTACAAAGCAAAAGTAACGAATCATGCACTGTTGGCGTAAATTTTTGTATTGTTCATTTAGGCCCTGCTGCCGGAAAAGTAAGTAAATATTGTCAAAAACTTTCTGTTTTCTTGATAATTACTGTTTTCTTGATAATTACTGTCTCAAGTGATTGAAATAGTAACTTAGATTATTTTTTAAGTTAGTTAAAGTTTATAAAGTATCATGACATTTAATTAGTGTAAATGTATGTAGTATAATCGATAATATTAATATACGTAGTGCAATATTAATAGTGTTCTTGCGCATTATTTTCCTTATTCTAAAAAGAAAATTTTTTATTTTTATCTTCAAAATGTATCAGATAGGTTAAGATAAAAACAGTTGAGATCCTCTTAAGCGTAGCAAAATAAATATACTTTTGATAGATTTTATCATGACCATGGTGGTTTCTAGAAAGTCCGATGATTAATGGCCAAAAGTGGTTTCAAAATGTTAATATTTGTTCGCTTACGTCTAGCCGCATGTGAGTATGCTGTTGCTTAATATAAATAAACAAATTAAATATCTAAAATGATAAAATCCTCAGATGCACAAAATGTTCCAGAACACTATTATCTTTATTAGCTCTTTCATTTGGCATATGTATCTCTGTGGTGTTCAGATTTAGAAGCTGAATTAAAAAATCGTTATTTATTAAGAAAAAGAATTTAACATTATTATTATTATTTGTTAGCAAGGGAAACTTGATAATCGAGAGGAAAGTGTGCACACGTTATTAGTGATGTTTCTTAAAATATAGCTAGCTGTACAATTGTGTAATAATTTCAAAGTAATAAAATATATTAACGTACGTTGCCAGATTTTACTCTGTTCCTATATAGTTGATTTAAATAATTAATTTTTATATATATATATATTTGTAGTCATTGATCATTTTGTATTTATTTGTAATTCAATTGTTATGTGCATACATATTTGCAGTCTGTTGTAATACTCATCCCTCCCTAGAGAATAAGTAAGCTTGACATTCATGCTCCTACATTTGATTATTCTACGAAATTTTCATTGGCATTGACTGATTGAGTACTTACCTGTTATTATAACCACCTTGGTGGAGTTTGGTGATTTTCTACAGATAAAAAGGTAAAAGTTACTTATCAGTACAAGTTGGTGGATTTCACAGCTTTTTTTTTTTTAAAAAAAAAAAGAATCCCAAACTATCAGTATATTTATCGTAAGTCAGCAAATTGCGTGATACATTAAAAAAATAAAACGTGTTCTTCTCCAAATCTTTCTGTAATTTTTTTGTGCTCCTCTTCTTCCCAAGTATACAGCAATCTCTTCGCTTAAAAAAGTATCAGAGAATTGCAGAGTTGGCAACAGTGGCTATTGCCAAACACATCTCCCATTGTTCTCTATATAGAAATTTTGCTATAAAATTCTGTATTCTTGCAAAAACTTTACTACATTTTCTTCTATTATTGGCAAATTCTACGCAAATTCTACAAGCTAACATTTTAAAATCAAGTTTATGGCAAAAAATAATGAGATTTGTCCATAAAGTCCTTTATAATTTGGAGTAAAAAAAAGTAGATGTGAAAATGACATTGCCTGATTAAAGGATTGTTAATGAGCATTGTTGCCAGAGTTTGGCACATTTTAAAAATTTATATCAAATTCTGTTAAATTGGTTGCAGTGGCACATAAGTACCACTGATTGTTACTTTTCAGTCTTGTCTTTTTCATCTTTCTTTGAATTATGACTTGTGAAACATTTTGGGGAGGGGGGAAGGGCAGCACTGAATTGGAAGATACGACATATTAACCTGTAAGCATGGTAGCCAACAGAGGAGGTGCAACTGGACAGCAAAACTTTTAGACTTTAACAATCTGAATGGTGCAGGGTTTTGGATCTGTCATAAAGACCTGTATTTAAACAGCATTTATTAGCTAGATTTGTATGATTATTCGTCCAAAGGGGCAACTTGTCCAGAAGGACTGTTGATTTCGGTTAATTTTCTGATTATGGTAATTTGGTGACCAACCCTGCGACAGCAACCTGCTAGTTTTTTTTTTTTTTTTTTTTTGACACCATTTTGTTTTCACAAAGTAAAGGCATGTTTTTTTTTTTACTCAAAATTTTTTTCCAACAATCTGCTAGCCGAATTACGCTTATGCTAGAACTTATATGGAACAAAAGTGCTTAATCATGACGAAGATTAAGTGCAAAATTGGGAGAAAGTGCAGAATCGCCCACTGCTTGCCGCGTTTTTAAGAATTGCACATACACGGTATCCATGTACACGTCGACCTATTTTCACTTAAAAAAACATCCCAGAATTGCACAAAAATGGCATTGCGCACGCTCTTGACTTTATCCATGTACACTGCTAAAGTTCTAGCTGGTAACCTTTATCACCTTACCAAAATGTTGCCAAACTACCTGTTACCATATTCCAAAGATTAGCCAAGAATCTGCATAAATGTATGTATGTTTCTTGCATTGTAATAAAACAGTGGTACCTAGAGCCATCAAATTTGTAATAACCTAATCTGCCGAATATGGACAACTGGAAGCCCTAGTTTATAATTTGAAATTTGTTTTCTAATCGATTTCATATTTTATGACATTTTAACTAATTTTTTGTTAACAAACTCAATGGTTTCAAAGCAAACAATGGCAACACTGTACGGGGGGAAAAAAACATTTCTATCTCTAGCTCGCAAGACTGTGTATTGGAAATTCTAAAGATGTGCTCATTTAAAAATTATTTTGCAATATTGCTGTTGAATTGAATTTTATAGTTTAAGAGCAGGGAACATGATATTTAATAAATAAAGGTAACACAGAAAATGTTTAAAAGACACCCTGTAGGGTTTATATTTATTTTAATTAACATTTATTTTAAGCTATCTTTCCTGTCAAGCCTTTACTTTCCCCTAGAATTGCCAATGCCAGAGTATGTAAATTAGTAGAACGCGCAGAGTATTCAAATTTTAGCAGAAGTAAATTAAGTTTAAATAGAAGGGAAACGAGATTGTAAGTGTGCTTCTTGAATCGCGAGCGTGAAAGTTGCGAGTTAAGAACCGCGCTGTCATGCCTCGCGCTCGTTCAAACACGAGGTTCGTTCTTCTGCTGAACTTACCATAATGGGAAAATAACACTTGTCCGCTTTGACATTTTTTTCACTAATTTATTACACATACTGCACTATTGATACACCATACAACGAATACACTCTAAAATAAACTATATACAATATATATATATATACAAGGCGCGCAAAAGAAATTAAAACATGTTTCAGTTCTCTATACTCTCACATGGCATGCTTGCCGGTCCAACTCCAAGTGCTAACCAGTCCAGTCTTCCTCCCCCCCCCCCACCAGCCTGCCTCGAGCAGTTTTTCCGGGGTAGGTCACTTCCGTTCTTCGTCTTTCATCAGGGGAAGGAACTTCACACACGCGTTTCGGCCTGTGTGCCTATTTCGGCAGTTCGTTGAATCTTTCAACTTCTTAATCAGGAAGTTTGCTGAATCTCAGCTGTATCTTAGAACGCGGTTAAGTTAGTTACGATTATAGAGCCTCGTAGGTAGTGATCTCGTTATTTATTCATCTTGTCATTTATTTTTAGTTATACTTTTCTATTTTGTTAAACCGCCGGGTCGGCGTAGTTTGTGAGCGTCAAGTGGACACAACTGTTATTTCTAAAGTAGAATAAAAAGGGATTTAAACCCTTCTTACGAGTTTGTTTGTGTAAAAGCAGTCACTACCACTGTTGCTGACAAGTTGGGGCCATTGCAACATTATAACCCTTTTGGGCATAATGTAAAATCTGAAAGCCTTCAGATTTTTTTAATTTTAATCTCTAATTTCATAAACTTACATTCATTAAGATGACATTTACATTGTTAAAGAAAGTAAAAGATCTTAAATTATGAGCTATTATATACCACTGGACAAAAAAAATCTCATGACCGGATAAAGGTCACGGTTGTTATGGCTCGAAAATTCCATATAGAAGGTTGCCGTCTATATTCATTACACATGAAAATTTCTGCTAGCTTTTAATGCATCTGATTTCAGTTTGCATGTATATTGAAAGAAAAGGAAATGAGACAAATGAGAGTACAAAATGAGAGTAATTTTTTAATTAAAATCAAGAAAATATCACTTATTCATGACATTTTAAGGAACTTTGAAATTTCAGGGCTAAACTCATAATGCTCAAAAGGTTAAAGAAATAATGAGGAAAAGTTTAGACATTGCAAAATTTTTAGAGTTTAGGGAGGTGTTGGGCAACAGAATTTAGAATCTGCTGAGATTACACCAGGAGGCAAAATACTAATACCCAATCTTATCTGAAAGTTTGCTTTTCGGAAGTGTGGACTTCCTTCATAGAATAGATACATTTTTTATTAATCATTTGTGTTTTTATGCAAGCGTTGCTATAGTGTTTTTTAAAGGTTTAGGAATATTTATTTTAGATAATAGACTAAAATTTTTAAATTAGTGATTTTTTTCCTTTGTTTATAGATATGTTTTATGTCTTAAATGTTTTAATTGTGTTCATTGCAGTTGAAGTATACCCTTTTGGATAAAAGAGATATTTCACTTTTTCGAGAATTCCACTTTGAGGTAAGATTTTAGTATCGCATCATTAAAGAAACACAAAGTAAACTAAAAATTTCTCATGCTTTATTTATTTAAGTATAATTATTCCTTATTACTTCCTGAGGTTTTTTCCCCCTTTCTTTTAGCTGTATGTTAATCAGATTCTTAACACATTAATATTGTTATGAAATATGCATAATGTAAACAAAAATCTGAAGAGAGCAGAGTTTTGCTGGAAAAATAAGATTACAGGGACAAGTGTATATAACATTGAGGTAAATAGCTATCTTGCTAAATTTGCGAGATAGTGCCAAAATGACAATGATTTTGGCGACATAAAGTAAAAACATTTTGTAAAAAGCCAATAAATCAATTTGTAAAAAGACATTGATTTAAGAACTTTCATGGTTCAACAGCCTGTTTGTATCACGTGACCCCAAGTGATCTCATCTCACGTAAACTACACTACAAAAATCTAATTCTTTCAGTAATTATCTACATTAATTTCAAGTTAAATCTTAATTTGGAATACAAGTTTAAATGCAAGAATTATTTCAATTCGTATGAATAGCTTAATCAGAAATTATGTAAAACCGCAGTTCTTTACTTCGCTAGTGCATTCTCATTAGAAATGATGAATTTAACCCTTGACTTTGCCTTTTCTATATTTTCGCCTTCGGGTAAGCGGTGTGGTTGCAGCCTAATTGACTTAATTACTGCGAATGGTCTTAGGGCATAAAATTTAACTATCTTGTAAAAATTCTATAATTGTATGCCAGTATTGAAAGAAACAATCAAACAATAAATGGCTGCGACTTGTTTTGAAAATGAAGCGCAAAGGGTTATCAGCGAAGATATTCGGTTTGGCATCAATTGTACCATTATTGGCGACTTTATTGTTTGCACCGGCAAAACAGAAAAGTACCCCAAAATCCAGCCCTGTCACTAGACATTGCTTCTTCTGATTATTACTTGTTTAGATTGATGATGCATAGCCTGTGTGAGCAGCGCTTCACGTCATATTGAGATACCAAGAATTGAGTTGATTTTGGATAACCTTGAAAGATGTAGCATTCTGCCAATGTGGTATCCATATGCATCAAGAAAGATGGGAAAAAGTAGTGGCTAGCAATGGACAAGACTTTTAATAAAACATAGTGTACTGTTCTTTCACAATAAATACCCAATTTTTTGTTAAAAAAAGGCAGACTTATTTCTGCTCCTGTTACGTACATTATTGTACATGTTAATTCAGTATTTATCGCTAAAATCAATCAATACATCTATTTATAAGCAAGGTTCTGTTTCTTTTGTGTTGGTGGAAATTTTGTGATGATTGCTTTAAGCAAAGCAATTATTCCCTTTGAAACCAGTTTTCGTTGAAATTTTTCTGTTGAAGGCTAATTCCACTTATTTGTAGTTTAATGCAGAAAAAATGTGTTAAAAATCATTGGAACTTGAGACACGACAAAATGAACTCGTACAAAACTAATTATGTTGCTTCTTAATAATGAAGAATTGTTATGGGCTTGTCAAAGTTTGGCTCATTTTGAAAATTCATAACTTTTACTAAGGTGGCTGTGCTAATATGTAAGTACTTGAGCTGTTAGCATATGCCAGTTTTATACAATGTAACTAGACTACGAAAAAGATTTAATTGAAATATCTTGTAATCTTTAAAAAAATAATATGAGTAATATTGATATATCAATAATTATAGATGTTTATGGTATGTTTTATACTTTCAGCCTTTTGTAGAAATAGATAAAAATGGAGAAGGAGCTGTTTTATATGCTTATGGCTATCCAGTCAGTCGAGGACGACATACGGGAAAATATGTGCATGAATTATTATGGTAATTTGTGTCATTTATATTTAATTTAAGATAAAATATAAATTTTAAGTTTATAATCTGAAGTCTTTGATTTGAAACCATTAGCATTAAATTATGTTGACACGCACTATGTACATACTACAGTCAAAAGTCGTTAATCCGGACTCGTCGGAACTTCGGCGATTTCGGATTATAGATATCATCAGTTTAAATCTCGTAAGATGGCATGCAGAAATTCTAAAATTAAAAATATGAAACCGTAATTTATGAAATAAAGAACAATTATGATCTAAAGGATATCAAAATTTACAAAAAAAAGCTTAATATTTATTTGTTTACTTTATTAAACATTTCTTTCAATGTAAGTTGTTTAAGTTGCTTCGTTTTATGTGATAATACTTTCTCTTTAATTCTATAAACAGGCATAATTTCTTGTTCAGTTACAAAGTCCCGCTGTTCAAGTCCCATTAGTTGCTGTGCCGAGAATACCGACTAACTTGTCAATCGAAATTTTTTCGTTTTCACTAACCTCTCTGTCACCTTCTTCATGTCTTATCCATTTTTTGCAGCAATTTCACTTTTTGTATGATGGACATCGAAACATACTTTCGTTTTGTAGATCCTTTGGGAGCTCCAGCATCGGAAATTCTATTTGACATAATCAAAAGTTCAAGTTTACTTTTATAAAATTGCTCTAACAGTCTGCAAAAAATAACAAGCCGCATCCAATTTGAAGATTAAGGAACAACGCAATCATCAACATTAACTGAAATAGATAATTAGATAATTTTAGCTTATACCGTCCGTTATACATTAAACGCGCACGTGCATATGCGCAGTCGTAAAGGTCTTACGCGCACGCATAAACGCCTATGCGCATGCGCAGAAAGTTTTTTGCTTTGAGGTCCGGATTATAGATCATTCCGGATTAAGGGTGTCCGAATTAACGACTTTTGACTGTATTTACATAGTATATGTTTAATATCTGGACCAAATTCTTTGTGATATGCAGGATGCATAGTTTTTTAATATTAATTTAAGAATATATTATCTAAAGTAAGTTACTAATGTTAATATTCATTTTTCTTTTATGTTCTTCCATTCTAAATATATTTTTTGTTTCATTGAAATAAAAACGTACACTCGAATAGCAAATATTTTTGTATAAATATTAATCTTGTTAAATAGAAAAATTACTGTCTTGTGTGGTTTTTTTTCCCCACACATAAGCCTACCAGTAAGCCAAATGAATAAGGTCTCTGAACACTGATACAGTCAAAGTCGTTAATCCGGACTCGTCGGGACTTCGGCAATTCCGAATTATCGATTTTTCTGGATTATAGATCATCAGTTTAAATCTCGTAAGATGGCATGCAGAAATTCTAAAATTAAAAATATGAAACCGTAATTTATGAAATAAAGAACAATTATGATTTAAAGGGTATCAAAATTTACAAAAAGAAAAAAAAAAAGCTTAATATTTATTTGTTTACTTTATTAAACATTTCTTTTAATGTAAGTTGTTTAAGTTGCTTCATTTTATGTGATAATACTTTCTCTTTAATTCTATAAACAGACATAATTTCTTGTTCAGTTACAAAGTTCCGCTGTTCAAGTCCCACTAATTGCTGTGCGGAGAATGCCGACTAACTTGTCAATTGAAATTTTTTCGTTTTCACTAACCTCTCTGTCACATTCTTCATGTCTTTGTCCATTTTTTTGCAGCAATTCCACTTTTTGTTTGTTGGACATCGAAACATACTTTCATTTTGTAGATCCTTTGGAAGTTCCAGCATCGGAAATTCTATTTGACAGAATCGAAAGTTCAAGTTTACTTTTATAAAATTGCTCTTACAGTCTGCAAAATATAATAAGCGGGATCCAATTCGAAGATTAAGGAACAACGCAATCATGAACATTAACTGAAATAGATAATTAGATAATTTTAGCTTACACCATCCATTATACATTAAACGCGCAGGCGAAAACGTATTCTGCGCTTGCGCACACGCATATGCGCAGTAGTCAAGGTCTTACGCGCTAGCGTAAAACGCCTGTGCGCAAGCGCAGAAAGTTTTTAGCTTTGAGGTCCGGATTATGCGTGTCCGAATTAACGACTTTTGACTGTAGTTTAACTTAGGTTTGAATACTGACAAATAGGCTAGTCGCATGGGTATTTTCGTAGTTTTCTCTATGTGTAGTGTGAATACAAGTCTGTTTCGTCAAGAAAATCTACAAAGGCATTCTTTTCTCTTGGTAGCTGGCCCTCATATGCTTTGCTATAATCAATTAAGCAGCAGTGACTTTTCTGTACATAAATGCTTCACCTTTTTTAAAATAGTTAAAAGCAGCTAGTTCTAGAAAAGGACACACTGTGTCCTGCAGATAAAATCACTTAACTAGTACTTTAATCTGAATTTAAATTCTCTTGAGTAGATTGTTTTGCATATTTTTTTTCCTATATATAATGTCAATACACACTAATTTCCTCTGTTTGCCTGTGAAAGTATGCCTCTAGAAGTTATTGCTTTGTGGTGAGGTAATTCTCATTGTTTTACCATATTTATTAAACATCATCATTCATGGTGCAGTAACAGTGTTTTCTGCCTGAAACAAATTTCCCGATATTGTGACGACAAAGACTTGCTAGTGTTCATGTGATTGACTGCTGAATGCAGTTATATATCTTTGAGGAGGAATTTGAACCATGACATTTGTGCTGTTTTTAAAATAATGTTATTTTCTTATCTTTTATTTTTATAATGTATCGAGGCTTTGTTTTGAATTTTAATAATGTAGTTTTTCCCTTTGCTTCAGTTGGGTGTGTGTGTAAGATAAAAATATGTAAATCAAAATTATAATCTAAATTAGCTATAGCCTCTTAATTCTTCATTTTCATTTGGGCATTTCTCCTTTTCTAAAAATAGCAGTTGTTTATAATAACATTTACTGGAATGTATCATTTCTAGATTTGTATCATATGACTTTTACATGATGCTGATGACAAGCTCAAACAATCACTAATAATTTTAGAGCATCATTAACTGTCTGTTCAAATGGTATTGAAACTAACCCAGTTTGAGTTAAGATTTTGTCCTGAGCACAAAGCTTCTGCATTTTGGCTTAACCAGACTACTGCTAGTTACTTCTCTTCTTAAAGAAGAAAGAAAAAAGTGTAAATACAATGTTCTAGAATGCGCATGATTACTTTGCTGATTTATTTGTGGCCATAAAGTCTTTAGCTAAAGAATAAAACAGATTTGATGCAAGTCTATGACTTCTGTTTTATTGCATCTGCATGATTGCTTAAGTTTATTCGTTATGGATATGTAACTTTAACACCTGTCTGCATAGTTCCCAAATCATCATACATATAATATTATAAAAAAATTATATTAATGCTAACATTATGACCTTCCAAATTATTATAAAAATGCAAAAAGGAAAAGTTGAGAACCAATAAGAACAATTTTAGTGCCTAAGCAAAAGTAAAGAAGTCAAGACTAAATGGCTGAACAATTAGAATATTAAGATTGAATTATTTTTTCTCTTGAATAAAAATAACCCAGTTTCTCATTCTAATTAATTGATTGGCCAAATCAATTTTTTCTGATTTCGTATCATGAAAACATGCTGCTAAAGTGCATTTATTCCTTTAGTTTAGAGAGTATTTATAATTTTAAGACTTTTTTTTTAAATTCCTCCTTTATATATATATATATATATAAATTATTAATAAAGAGCTTATCCCCTCGGGAAATTTGTAGAGTGAAAAACTTGTAGCATAGAAGTTAAGGTCAGTTAAAAATTCACTTAGAAAAGACTTTAAAAACTAATAATTATTGTTAATTCCACAGTAAAAGGCTGACCTTTTTAATGAGTATCAACTTTTCTTGATAAAATCGCCAACAATTACAGAGATTTTTTTATATTTTTCTGATTTTCAGGGAAAAGCATTGCGGAGGTATTGCTCCTGGATTTAAAGTATTTCATAAAAATGGCATCACTGTTGATAATCGTCTTGAAAATTTATCTCTCTGTCCAGTTGAAGTGAATATTTCACCAGACATAAATCAAAAAACTTTTGAAAGTTCACTATATTGGTCTGCTATTGAAGGAATGCCACATGAGGTATGTTAATTTAGATCATTAAGTAACAAAAAGATAATTAATCACTGTTTGCATTTTTTTGTACAAAAATTTTCATCTTTTGTATTAGATGGAGCCAATCTATATCAAATTATTCAGTATTCAAGAAGAAATTTCCTTAATGAGTAAGTAGTTAATGATATTTTTAGTAGCATGTAATGCTATTGCATGAGGATACCACTGATGATGCAAATCTCAAACAGTGTAAAAAGTTATCTTGCATATGATTAAATTTGAATGTAATTTTAAATATGTATTTTATGACTTACAGAATGGTGAGATTCAGCTAGTTAGCACTAATTCGGCAAAACTTAGTTCATAAAATATTTTTGAGCAGTTGGTCAAATTGGTTGTTAAAATTAAATTGTAATATTTACTTAGACAGTTAATCACTACCATAGTAGCTAATGTTACCCATTATTTAGGCAACAAACCAGTTCTTAAAGCTTCAGCACTGATTCTATGCATTTTCCACATTGGCTAATATATGCAATAAATATGGGAATCTGTCTGTCATGATAATGTTCCGTGCCAGCAAATCTAAATTAGAAGTGGAAGTGCTTGGTAACAGAGCCATTTTTTTTTTAATAGGAATTTATAATGGGGTGGTTTTTATTTCATTTTTAGCAAATGTTTGCTAAGAAATGAGTTTATCGTTCATGTTGTGTTGTGTCCAGTTTGTGTACATCTTCAAAATGGCTTAAATTACTTTTATTTTTTCAGTTTTTATTTTTGTTTTAATGAAGTTTATTAAATTTTAATAGTTTCTTTCCTTCCTAACATCCTTTATTTCTGTAAAGTGAATCTTTATATTTGTGGAACTTTGATAATTCTCTTCCATGGAGAAACATGTAGAGTATTGCAGAATTTTGTTTCTCAACAGTTGTGGATAAATTTTATTTAATTAATTAAATTTTTGCTCAAGCTTAAAAAAAAAAAAAAAAAAAAAAAAAAAAAAAAAAAAAAGAGCTTTTTAAGCTACTTGAAAACTTCATTTACAATTAAAGTAATTGAGGCTGAAGTTTTGGTATTAGATGAAATAAAGCTGTTGAACCCACACACATAACGAACAAACCTTTTGATCCTGCCCATACATTTAATGTTATTTTGTACTGCTATACCGAACCTTCGAGGATAAAAATAGATATACAGTAAGACCCCGCTTAATGCGGGGGATACGTTCCATCAAAGTAGAGCGTAATGCGAAACAGCGCTAAACGAGGCTGTCTTTACAGGTAAATATTGGGGTTAGGGGAAGATGGCTAGGAAATTGGTTAGGTATTAAATTTAAAAAGTATGTTTTTGTAATAAAAATAAAACCAAACATTTATTTCTTAAAGCCCAAATTAATACCACATTATTATTTCTTGCAAAAATAAAAACAAAATATAAATAACAAAACAAATATTCTTAAAAAAAACAAATAAAATTCTCAGTCAGTCATATTTAGTTAGCCTTCTGCGTTTTCAGTGTTCTGCCTTTTTGTGACAGAAGCATCTAATGTTGTTTGCCTTTTTCTTTTGCGTTGTTCTCTTAAAAGTTCTTCATAAACGGATAGAGCATCTCTAACACCACGCCTTACTTTTGAGCTCCTGTCAAAATTCGGATCATTTTCAATGAATTGATCCATTATTTCAGTTATGGTAGACAAACTCCTTTTTACAAACGCCATCGAAAGTTCTTTTTGCTCTTCTTCTGAATCACTGCTGTCAACATTTTTGTTTTCTTCTTGTTCAGTTAATTCCTTGAGCTCATCATTAGAAAGACTAACCGCTGCTTCTTGAATTATTTCTTCGACATCTTCCACATTTACCCCTTCAAAATATGTCTGTACAATACCGCACCAAACAAGAAATACAAGTACACTCTTTCGGATATGTATCTGAAACCTATCGCTGCATAATATTTTGTGGAATCCCCGTATGCTGCAAGCGATTTCGTGGAATCCCCGGGTTGAAATAAAAAGAGCGCTAAACCAAAACAGCGCTAAACGAAACAGCGTTAAGTGGGGTCTTACTGTAATGAGCTGTATGGATATCTTTGACTCAAATTTTATGTTTTTCATACATCTTCGAGAATTTCTTAAAGTTTAAATACAAAAAAATTACTAATCTTTAAAATCATCAGCATTTTAGATGTTAAGCTTCACATTTCATCCATAAAGGGAAAACCTTTACGTTACTCTTCTTTTATCTTCATCCTCACTTTGCTCTATTTTCTAAACAAAGCCTGTGCAAAGGGGTGAACCCAGTTCTAGGAGGAGGAGGAACAGTAGGCATATCTTAAAATACCATATGTTGTTAGTGACCACTGAAGTACTAGAATGGGTTCTTTGATTTCATTAACTTCAATAACTGAAATGTCAGAGAGTAAAGGTTGATGCTATGATGAAAATTTTGGAATTTTCACCAGTCGGGGAAAGGAAGTAGCGAATCATATGAGCTTGAGGCTGTTCATCTTTTAGGAATGACATTTTGATCCTTATCGGTTTATTTTTTTCCAGTATAAATGTTCTCCAAATTAGGTCCTTCGAATAAATATTTTGCCATCTTTAGATTATTTGCAAAACATAGGATATTTTTTATAAAAGATTACTGAATCTTTGCTTTGATACCATGGATTAATTTTCTTCCAGTCTACATCACGCCAGGTAGAAGATTATAGGTAATTTTTGTGCATAGAAGCTAAGCAAAGTTAAAGATAAATTTTATATACTTTTTGTTACTCATTTTTAGTATTTTAATACAGTTGTGGCTAAACTAAATTATTCGTATATGATAAATGGGTAATTCAAGGGAAAGATCGGAACAATAATATCTGTGCTAAGTAATTTATCATGTAAAATTATTAAACTGGAAAAGAACAAACAACAATTTAATAACTGCACATAATAATAATTGTAATTAAATCTTAATGTGATCTCTTTTAAAATTAGATTTATTATTCACTTCTTTTGTTAGATGTGATAATGTTACATATTTTTTTTTAATTGTTTATTCAGTTTTTACACATTTTCATTAGATAATCCATTTTCCTTATGGGAGCAAATATTTTTTAGCAGGAATTTTGCTATAATGAAGCAAACTTTTGGTCTCTTGAAGTTCATTATGTAGGGTTCGTCTATATATGTGAAGCATTGTCTAAAGCCTAATGATAGAAACTCAGAAAATGATAAATTTGGCAAATGATCTGGAATTCAGCAGCCTTAAAATTGTTACTTAAGTGTTAAGGCCAGTTTACACATCTCTAAGCATCCCGCAGCGAGCCCTCGCTATGACTACTTTGACTATGTAAACACTCACTTCTTCCGAATAGAAACGTAGAGGGAATGAGTCAGTTTCTACTTTGAACCAGTTGAAAATCTATCCAGGCAGTAGCTCCGAGCAGTGTTTGCAGAGACGTAGTGCCCAACTTTATCGTTATATCAAAAATGCCAAGATGGAGCAATAATCTAACTGTGGAATTTTTTAATGCATATGCATCTTGTGAAGTATGAGATACTTCACCTAAATATTATGAAAATTGTTACTAACATCTAAATATAATGTGGATATAACTACTGATTAGAATGAATTTAGGTTTTTGATATTGTAGAAAAACATAGAACATTAAATTAGGGTATTGATTCAAAATATTTATTTTAAACATATTTATTTCTGTATTTTCTTTAATCAAAAAACAATTAAATTATATGTTATTCAACTATCCAATAAAATAGAGCTTTCAATTTAAAAAGAAAAAGAAAGGGCAAACATTTATTTTGTTGATATAAATTTCGAAAAAACAGTTTCTACTCATGGCCAATTACATCTAATAAAATATAAATTGAAATTTTGAAATTGTGTTTTATAGTCTTTCCTTTTATTTGAACCAGTAATTAGATTTTGTTTACAAACAATCAGTTGAAAGTATTAAAATAAAAATCACTCACAGAAGGTGTATAAGGCTATTATTAGTATGTTAAAATTTGAGTGTGTTGGAGAGTTCAAGCAAAAGATTAATAATTTTCGCTCACTTTCATACACAGAAAATGACCTCAAACACTTCTGGAATAAATATGCTAATTGTGCATTTGGTACTTGCAATAAATATTGAAGAGAACTGTAGGAGTCACCTGTCTCCAGAAACCGAACCACTATCTGCATTTTAATTTTGCTGGCAGAACATCTCGAAAGAACTTTTTTTTTTAATGAGTGACCATTTCCAATAGTTTCAAATTATTACTGACCCATTCTGATGAAGTTTTTGTAAGTTCGGATGTCCTCGCCCCGAAGTTCATTTAAAAGTTGATTTAATGCTCCCAATTCATCACGGTGAGCTACACAGTCACATTTCGATTTCCTTTTGTTGTTCTTTTTTCTTTCCCCTGGAACAGAAATTAGTTTATTGGAAACTGCTTCGCAAACTTCAAGCACAGCGACTTGCATGTTCGTATCCATTTTGCAAGCAAACGGAGGCAAGTTGTCAGTCTGCTCTGATTGGTGTAAACAATCTATCAGTGTACAGGTCTGTTCACTCAGTTCGAGATGCTCGAACAAGGGACTCGCCAAAAATCACCTGGAGAACTGTAAATCGGCCTTTCAGAATAGAGTTAAAAATATCCAATAGGAAAACGTACATGATGCATAAGGATTTTGCGTTCAGTAAATTAGGAAGATGCTTAAAGATTTTAAAGCGTAATTAAATTATCCGATTTTGTATTTTGGGGGAAATGAGAAAATAATTCAAGTGAAATATGCAGGTAAATCAATAATCACTATATTCCAGAAGAGCAATATTTTAGGTATCAATGAAATGGGACATGTTATCCCAATAGAGTCAAGCTTTGGGCAGCCACTAACACAATTCTTTTATTGGGTAATTTCAGCCTTACTGTCACAAAAAAGTTCATCGGTTTCAGTGCCCAAAGGGAGACCTAGAATTGAAATGACTCTGTCGTGTCTTTTCTACAATTTTTTCAGAAGTAACCCAGCCTCATAGTTTGTGAATTGTGCTGAAAACTCCTAAGCTTCAGAAATAAATTTTTCTGCCTCTTCTTTAGTTTCTAAACTCGTAATACAGTTGTCCACTTAAAAAGATTCTTTGAGTCCACAAGCTGTTTGCTTCCTTTCATCCAGAGCATTCT